GTGCGTACGTAGAAGACCCTATCATTATTTTATAGTTATTTGATTTGTTTTCATGCAAATATTTTCAAATAGGTACTTCTACTTTTTTATGATTTGAGTATATGATTATGAACCACACAATCTATATTAACACAACTAGCTGTTACACACGGGCTTAACCCCGTTTGACTTCATAAGTATTAATAAAAATATTGGTTGGTTAAGTTAAACAGAAATTAGCAAAACATAATACAGTAATACAAACAAATAATAACACCTAAATTTAATTAGGTAATAAATTAAAATATTAACAAACAAATAAGTACAGCTGAGGTATTTTTAACATTAGGTATATAAGTGTTCCCTTTAGAAAGGAATTGCGACCTTAAAGGGCAATTTATGGCATAATGGATAGTTTTGCGCAACGTTTCTCGTAATGACAAACATTTTAAGTATATGGTTTATGGGGGTGTGACTTGTATTTTTCTCATGTGGGATTTATGGATAGTAGTAGGACAAAAAACATGAATCCTTTTTAAAACCATATTAACTGGCCATCTTAGTACATATTATTCGTTCATTAATACATTCTTCCTCTTATGTAGGTGTCTAATATTCCGATTCCATAATATGAGTTATTAATTTTGTTTGCGTGATTTATGTAGACCTATATAAATCTTTTAAATACTTCACTGCTATTTCAGTAACTTAATCTCTAAAATGACATTCTAACGGTCCTAATTGGTTGGCGTGTACGCTGCCTTAAAAACGTTATATTGTAATGCAGGTATCTAAAAATCCCCCCCCCCCCCCACACACAAAACGGATCGGCGCGCGGTCGGGCTGGCTTCAACAAAACTAGAGCTTTTCCTCTATCCTCCTAAAATTTAATCCTCCTACATTCTAGCTGTGTTAAATTTGCTACTATAGTTCAGCCGCTTAGAAAGCGACCTCCTCCAGCATTAGTTTAGCATTAGCGCGCAAGTCGTTTTCTAAGCGGCCGAACTATACAGTCAAAATCATAAGGGCATTTGTTATTATTATTCAGTTTGTTTACGTAAATATTTCCTCAAAATCTTCATTATAACGAATCTTGAACTTTTTACTTTATCACTGTAATTTGGTAACTTTCTATGTAGTTCTGTTTGTACATCAGATGTACTAGTATTAGGTATTGGTTTTTCTTGAATATTTTAGTCTCCTTTTGTGTTAGTCGTGTGTTCATCAGAGCCGGCCTTAGGTACAATGCCCACACATTGGGTATAAAATACAGAATAATTTAAAAGTATTAAAATTTTACAATATTTATGTTAATTATAAAAAATTAAAAGGGGGAATTATTTTATCATCAATTTTTTGTTTGCACCATCCAAGGCCGGCTATGGTGTTTACAGTTGAAATCTATTTAAACTTCGATATCTATCTCCACTGATTTGACAGAATTTTTAAAAAAAAGAATCGGCTTTATTACCTTATATAACGTATCTATTAAATTTTGAAGTAATACAAATTTTATATAAAATTCTTTTCAACCCATTTTCAATGTCTTAAAAACAAATCATTTATTATGTTGAATAGTTGCTAAGGCTTAAAGTTAAAGAAAAACATTTAACTTATGAAAAACATGCAAAATTTAAATTTCCATGTTATTTATACATTACCTACATAGAATAATTAAACCGTTGCAGTTTGCTTGTTTATGAACACATTTGTATGAAATTTGGCAAATTAATAAATTTATTTAGTAATAATCTATTAACATTTTACAAATAAAATTACCCTTCGTTGTAGCAACTCGCGTGATAACTCATTAAACTTAGGTTATTATTTAACTTCGGAATAAACATGACTATTTAAGGAGATATTTTGATGAAAATCCAATCGAGCAAATAGAAATTCACTTATTCCGCTGGTTTTCTGTGGCTGGGGTGATAAAACATTGATTAAGCAAATAAAATTATCCAACTATTGTAATACAGTGGAACAGTAAAGCGCTACTCATAAAACTCACACAGAAAAATAAAATAATACATTGTCGACTTAAGCGTACGGCGACACTAACGTCTTGAAACAAACATAAAAAATCGTTTTACAATAGGATGAAAAGTCTATAAGCTAATCGGCACAATAAATTCGGACACCTAGACTAAAATCTAAAACTACAAATAAAATTATTTGATCCAGAGGAATCATGGATCAGAGTTTCGGTAAAACATTACAGTATAATGGAACAAATTAGATATTATTCTAGTTAGTTGTTTTTTATCTTTATGTTTTCCAACATGTTTTGCTTACGTTTATAGTTTAAGGTTGTGTAAATAGATTATTTTCATACACGATATGTTTATAAAGTAAATAAAATAGCTTATTTAAATTTTTATCTTTTTGAAAAAGCAGTTTCATTTTGTTTCCCTTTCGTTAAGGTTACCTCTCCTCAGATTATACCTCAGATTTCTCCACAGATAATTGACTTGATTGCCTCAATCATATTCATAAATATTATACACTACGATGTATTTTACAATTGGAATAGCTCAAAGTTGTTGTGATGTGCATAGAAAAAATATAATGCATTCTTATTTGTTGCAAGTTCCTATCAACCATATACATTTTGCCATATAACTTGGTAATTTAGGGGGATGCCTCAATCACACTCATACTGATTATTCTACACATTGTATATTAACATTAGAATACCTCAAAGTTGATGTGATGGACTTAGGAAAAAGGTTGTGCACTTTTTCCTGATGCGAGTTCCTATCAACCATATACATTTTGCCATATAACTTGGTAATTTAGAGGACTGCCTCAATCATACTTATACAGATTATTCTACACATTGTATATTACCATTAGAATACATCAAAGTTGATGTGATGGGCTTAGGAAAAAGATTGTGCACTTTTCCTGACGCAAATTCCTATAAACCATATAGATTTTGCCTTATAGCTTCGTAATTCACTGGACTGCCGCAATCATACTCATACTGATTATTCTATACATTGTATATTAGCATTAGAATACCTCAAAGTTGATGTGATGGGCTTAGGAAAAAGATTGTGCACTTTTCCTGACGCAAATTCCTATCAACCATATAGATTTTGCCATATAACTTCGTAATTCACTGGACTGCCGCAATCATACTCATACTGATTATTCTAAACATTGTATATTACCATTAGAATACCTCAAAATTGATGTGATGGGCTTAGGAAAAAGATTGTGCACTTTTCCTGACGCAAATTCCTATCAACCATATAGATTTTGCCTTATAGCTTCGTAATTCACTGGACTGCCGCAATCATATTTACCCTGAGTATTCTACACATTGTATATTACCATTAGAATACCTCAAAGTTGATGTGATGGGCTCAGGAAAAAGATTGTGCACTTTTCCTGATGCGAGTTCCTATCAACCATATACATTTTGCCATATAACTTCGTAATTTATTGGACTGCCGCAATCATACTCATACTGATTATTCTATACATTGTATATTAGCATTAGAATACCTCAAAGTTGATGTGATGGGCTTAGGAAAAAGATTGTGCACTTTTCCTGATGCGAGTTCTTATCAACCATATAGATTTTGCCATATAACTTCGTAATTCACTGGACTGCCGCAATCATACTCATACTGATTATTCTATACATTGTATATTAGCATTAGAATACATCAAAGTTGATGTGATGGGCTTAGGAAAAAGATTGTGCACTTTTCCTGATGCGAGTTCCTATCAACCATATACATTTTGCCATATAACTTCGTAATTTACTGGACTGCCTCAATCATATTTATACTGAGTGTTCTACACATTGTATATTACCATTATAATACCTCAAAGTTGATGTGATGGGCTTAGGAAAAAGATTGTGCACTTTTCCTGACGCAAATTCCTATCAACCATATAGATTTTGCCATATAACTTCGTAATTCACTGGACTGCCTCAATCATATTTATACTGAGTATTCTACACATTGTATATTACCATTAGAATACATCAAAGTTGATGTGATGGACTAAGGAAAAAGATTGTGCACTTTTTCCTGATACGAGTTCCTATCAACCATATAGATTTTGCCTTATAGCTTCGTAATTCACTGGACTGCCTCAATCATATTTATACTGAGTATTCTACACATTGTACATTACCATTAGAATACCTCAAAGTTGATGTGATGGGCTTAGGAAAAAGATTGTGCACTTTTTCCTGATACGAGTTACTATCAACCATATACATTTTGCCTTATAGCTTCGTAATTCACTGGACTGCCTCAATCATATTTATACTGAGTATTCTACACATTGTATATTACCATTAGAATAGCTCAAAGTTGATGTGATGGGCTTGGGAAAAAAGATTATGCACTTTTTATGTTCGGAGTTTTAATTGATCGCGTTATGTTAAGCCATAGCTACGTATAATGTACAGTACGGTCTCAAATATGCCTTTTAAAATACGTCAATTAATTAGTTTTAACTTGTATACACGTTTTATCAATGTATAATTGACATTATATAAATATAAAAACATCATTTCGCACCGTATTGTCATTGAATTGTGTTTCCGACATCCCTGCAAAACACGTTTGTGGCGTCCGCAGGAGTACCAACCCACATCTATTACAAACCGAAAAAGCGCCGATGAAAAGAGCCGCTAACTTCACGACGGTGCACGAATCGATACATTCAATCGTTTACAATCGAAATTTCCAACTGAGTTGACAACAGCTGATGTTTACTCCATAGAGGCTAAAAACGATTTTTACTCCCTAAAGAGTAAACATGCTACTTTAGACCCGCAACTCATACATTAAAACGACTGTTTTTACTGCAGTATGACAAAAACAATATAATATGAACCCTTGATGACTCCGCTCAATTTTGTGGATGCTTTTGCGAACGCCACCTAGTATGTCATTCTCACGTTCCTCGTTCCTCTCTGCCTGCACCACTGAACCTACCTTCCCACCTAATCAAAACACGACCGTGTCAAAAAAACATAACCTCAAAAAGCAACTTAAACATAAACATATATTAGGGGTGTAGTGTTGTACAATAATAAATAAAAATAATACAGTTTAGTTCTGTTTTGCTATATACATCCTAATCTGCTAATTTTTCTTGTTATTTTTGATATGCGGTAACTGTTGTTAAGTTTTTTACTTGCTTTTCATATTATTTATTCTGAATTTTACATACGGTAGGTACCCATTATCTTATTCAATGGATAGAAAGTCTACAGCAAGAGATATTAAGGGACTTAACCCGAAATTTGCCTTTACAAAGGACAATGATAAACATCAGAACAAAAGTAAGTAACTTTAGGCCTAATAATAAGCTTAGCTAGTGTTTCACATGTGGTATGGTGGGCTCTTTATTGTAAGATGTAACTTGTAGGCTTAGACACTGTTCAAACATAACTTTGCTCAACTTAAAAAGTATTTAGGCCTACAAGTGGACATCTGCAATTCGATTACAACAAAGTTCCTGCTGTTTGCTGATGACATAAAGATTTTCAACAAAATCATTTCGACAGATAGGTAACCAAGAAGAACTCCAACTCTCGCTCAACAACATTAGCAACTGGTGTAAATTGAATGCTATGGAACTCAACGTCTCAAAATGTGTGGTTATGTTCTTCAGCCGAAGTAGCGTGATGCATGAGTATGTTTATTGCATCGATGACAGCTGTCTTAATGTGGTCGTGGTCCAGAGAACTAAGTAGGCTCCTGTATCTTGGTGTGATTACCACTCCCTTCATTTGCCCACTTGAACATTTGGTGTACATGTCTTCTAGAGTATCTTCTGTTGGGTTTTATCTACCACTCTACAAGACCCCTTAAATCCCCATTGACATTAGTTACCCTGTACAAGTCACTAGCTCAGGCCAATTTTAGAATACAGCTCCCTCATTTGGTCATCAAGTAGGCCACATGGACATCCTAAACAGAATCCAAACACGTTTCCTCAGACTGCTAGGTCTTAAACTTGGATTCCCCTTCCTGCAAGCACCAGTGACAGCCCTGGCCCTGCAGTTTGATATATAAACTCTTCCAGTGAGACAACGGATCTGTGACATCATCTTCATCTGTGACATCATCTTCATGTAGAAACTGGTAAATGGGATCATCGATTGTCCTGAGCTATTAAACGACATCGACCTCACCATTCCAAGGGGCACTCGATCCAGATCTGTCTTCACAAGGAGATACCAGCCGAATAACTAGGCTCGTAACCATAGCATCTCTAGACTCCTGAGAACCAGTGAAGATGTGTCTTCTTGTCTCGACTTATCTTCGGGCCATCACCAGCTTCAGGGTCAATTTCAATTTGAGGGATATTTAATATGGAAAAAGAAATAAAAAGAAAAATATTACTTAAAATTACAAATATTGTTTGTTAATTGTTGCACAATATCTTAACAATTACAGTGATATACTTAACAGAGCTTAGTTATTTATTTTTTACCTTTTTTCCATGAATTACCAACGTAACCTCTGAAATTTAATCAGGTCGCTAACGTTTTTTAGTAAAAAAAAGAAAATAAATACAATCTTGGAGACAGTATAACACAGGTTATCAAGTAATTTATTTAGATAGAAAGGCTTTGTATCATTGAAATAATTTTTATAATATATATATACAAAATTTGTGTAAAAGTGAAATGTTTGATAAATATTCAAGCGAGATATCCGGAGGCGTTTAAGGTTAGATTAGGTAAGGTAATGTTTACATTACAATGAACCGGGTAGTTATTTATTTTGAATGATTAAAATATTGCAATTCAAATACAATTATTTACAAAAATGGTACAAGCATTTACAGCCACTTAGAAAGTGATTCTATAATAAACGATATTCTTATTCTTTTTCACCCTCTCCCTAACTCTCTTCATCTTACCTTCACTAAACTAAGCAGCACAGTAACAGTAGCCTAATTCTAGGTTGACAGTAATTCTAGTCACAGTAGGCCTAAGTCACATGAAGCCATTAGGAATAAGTTACTGCCGATGACAGACCTCAAAATGTAGTATCTATGTCTGAACAGTATGTTTAACATAAATAGAAAAACTCGTACGTCCCTAAATATTTTGTTTGTAATATCTTGTTCCAGATAAGAATTTTAAGAAAAAAGACTTCAAGCCAAGAAATACAGCTCAACCACTAAAAAACAAGTTTGGAGGAACTTCTTTTAACCCAAAGCATGATAAAAAGTAAGTAAGAACAAGCTATTAAGATTTATTATAATCTTGTAATGATGATTTTGTAAGGTTATTTTATTATATTGAAAAGGATTTATATGCTTCTGTATTCTGTTGTTCTTAGCATCATGGACTACTTAATTTTTGGAAGCATCATAACTAAGTTAAGCTAAGGTTTTAAAATAACTTAACTTAATAAAAGTAATACATTTTATTTTTTGTTAAATAAATCAAATGCAAATCAGTAAAGATTTGGTTAAGAAGTTAGGCTTATTAATCAAGTATGCTGTAGACCTAGAATTCAAAAACAATTCTCTAGCTTTATGTTATTAATTGTCTTTACATAGCCTATTGAACATTTTTTGTTGCAATCGATGTAGAACCATTGAATTATAATGATCTATTACATTTTCAGACATAAAGGAGCTCTTGCCCAGGCTCTGGAAGAATACAAATCTAAAAAGCAAGAAGAACATAGACAAAGAGAAGAAAATAAACACAAAAAAGAAGAAATGAACAAAGCACTGCAACGTTATAAGGAAAAGAAAGCACAAAAGTTAAAACGACTTAATAAAAAAACAAAGAAGGGACAACCTATAATGAAGTACTGGATTGAAGACATGTTGCAAAAAATCCAAAGCACATCATGAATAAATATTTTACGTAAAGTAGTAATGTTTGATTTACAACCTGTCTTTGGCTTTTATTCAGGGAAACTGATGAAATGAAACAAGTTGTAAGATTGGATACGTGTAATGTTTGATTTACAACCTGTCTTTGGCTTTTATTCAGGGAAACTGATGAAATGAAACAAGTTGTAAGATTGGATACGTGATATATATTTACAGCATAATCTTTATTTACAAAAGTTTTTCATACTGATATTAAATCACATTAATTCTATTTCTAATAGTTTTTACTGTTGCATCAACAGCTAAAATCTAACAAGAACCATTGCACAAGTTTTAACCCTTATTTATTCACCTTTTAAGATGGAATCGTATTGAATTATTTCAAAAAAATAAAAGTTTAACTGGTTATAAAGTATTTTAGAGTGTTTAACCTGTTTAAAATCAAAATGAAGATGAAGGGAAACCATCAGTTAATGGTGTTCGGTGTTCTGTAAGGGTCCATTCACTTTGTTGAATAGAAATCCAAGTTGGTACTTATTTTTATTCGTATTAGTAAAGAAAAAAACAGGAGGAGGAATACCCTTCTTACTATGATTAAACTAAAATACTGAGGGTCATATAAGATCTTTCTGTGAAAATGTCAACCAAAAGTTTTAAACCAGTACATCCAAACTAGATTCAATAAAGTAGCCTAATACTTTTAATTATTTTATCAAGGTTTTTTTCTCTGATTTGAAAGGAATGTTTGAAGCAATATTAAAATAAGCAACAGTTTACATTTATAACATAAAGCTAAACTTAATGATATGGCTACACTTGCTGGCAATTTGATAGATGGTTAAATCTGATTTTTCAATATACTTTTACAGAAGTTTCTTGATTATCTTACTACTGGGTTAAATCGTACAAATTGAATGCATAAATAAATCTTACTTGTACCGTAATTGTTTTTGTCATATTGTAATTTGTTTGTTTTTTTACAGAAAATAGGCCTAGTTAAAAATAAAAATTTAAAACCCAACTTTATTCAACTCAAGACAAACAACGTTTCTACCATGAATATTAGAATAGAAACCAGTATTGATCATTAACATAAACAAATTAACTGGCCCATTTAAACAATGTTAAATAATGTTTATTTTACGGCCAGTAACATAATTGGTTTATGTTTATGATCTATATCGGGTCTATTCTAGTATTCGTGGTTTCTTCCAAAAATGTGGAATAAATCATATTGGGAACTATTATTTGAATCACTATACGGTATTAGTTTTTAGTTAGTTGTAATAAATCAGTTTCTTGTCTTGTTTTTATTTTTGGCCAATAGCATTTTCCAACAAAAACAGCAATAAATGTTTAGGTTATTTCTAACCTTGAGTTCCTGATATTCAAAAACCCAGAAAGTTCACCAACGGGTAAAAAAAAACACAAAAAAAACCGTTTTGTCTCTATAAACAATACCCTAACCTGTCTTGTGATTAATAATATCCACAGGACCTTTTGAGATTTGGAAGTCTTATCCATTGTCAGGTCTGGAACACCGTATGAATGTGTTTTCCTGTTCACTTTCAGCTTTCAGGTTTATTAGACCTGATAATGGAAGCTTCAGACTTGTAAATTATAGTTTCCCTGGAGTGGAGACAGTATAAGTTGACCTTATCACTATTTTTGGCTGTCATGTTTGGGTAAATTTGTTTATTGATGGGCTCTATTTTAGTTCAAAAATTGGCTGTCTTTACCCACAAAACTACTTCCCAAAAAACAAAGACTCTACCAAAAACTTTTTTTACCTTAAAGTTGTCTTTATAAGGAAGGAAAGGATCAACCGTGATAGTAACTACTAAAATTTGGGAAAACTTATATAAAACATCAAAGTAAAAAAAAAAAAAAAAAAAAAAAAACGGTTACACTTGTATTACATGGTTTAGAATACAAAATTATAAAAATAGGCATTTATAAAAACTAAAGGAGTTATGGTATTATAAAAAGTTCTACAAAGATGGAAATAGTTTGACAGTTAGCAATTGACAATCTATGACGAGATCTATGACAGAGACAGATTTCAGTGATGTATCTCATAACCTCAAAACTGGCTGCTTGTGAGGCTTAAATTGTTCTTGTCTTGATTGTGCTCGGGAGTCCACTGTGCTCCTTCTGCAAATTATAAACATATTTTCAATAAAAAAACACAAAATTTTGGAAATGCAATTAATAAAAAATAAACAGTAATAAAAAAAATCTATAAAATCTACAGCTAACAATAAGCTAGTATAACCAATAAAGCAGTAAAGGTAACAAAAATAATGTTAATGAAATAGCAATAACACTTTACAAGATCTTGGACATCACCGTAGCCCCTTGTACAACGTAGCACAGTACACTGAAACATGTGATAAACTTGTAAAATAATATTAGCAAATATTATAAGTAACATTTGTTTACAATACAATTAACACAGTTGTTAATAAGCTGAAATTTAATAATTTGGTTTAAAAATAACAGTTATAGGTCGGTCGCTTAGAAAACAACCTGCGCAAAATTTTCAGCGCATGTAGGGGAGATAACGGCGAGGGAGGGTATATTTCCCCTCTCCGCCAATGGCCGTTTTCACACTGCACGACACAACACCGACACGGCGCTGCCCCGGTGTCGTTGGAGTTGGAATCCTGTGTTATCAAATGGAACTGCTTACACAATGATATAATAACATTTTATGATGTTCAAATATTGATGCAATTTAGGCTATACAATATTTTTTGCAGGACCTATTTTTCTCAAGTTATGAAGAACGTAATTGTTTACATTTTGATTTTATTGCTGTTAATATTTATAAAAGGTTGCGGGTGGGGCAGCAGCGGAGTGGGGGAAGAGCCATAGTCTGTCTCACTCCCACAGCTCGGTATCTCTCTCTCGCACCAATGCTACGTGGAAGACGCTTTCTAAGCGGCCGACCTATAGTTGTTGCCAGGATAGAGGAAATAGATGATTATCAAAATTATCACGCCATTTCACTGTCAAACTAAGCTCACAGATTGCTCGTGAACTGTACAGAGCACACATAGCTAAACGGTATCGTACTTTTTTGCGTAAAAATTATATTTATTGGTCAATACCACCAGGTATTGTTAGCCTTTACTGTGCATAACACACAATACCATATTTCAGGAACACTGTGACCTACTTTTTGCTATCCTTCCCCTCCTCATTTTAGTCAGCTTTTTGTTTTTCATGTACTTGTCGATTCCACCCTGAGCATCTCCTCGTGTTTTGGAATTACTTGTCAATAAGACAGTGTGTGTCTCCTCGTGGTATTTAAATTAATGCTTATTATTGTTTAGATTGTTGATTGGCTTCAGTTTTAATTCATTAGTATTGCCATTATATTATATTCTGGGCCACAGTGAAGCATTTATGTACCTCTGAGTGGCTGGACGTAGAATCTAAGAAGTAAAGTATATAATTGATAGTCCATCGTCATGTTGAGAGAAATAAGGATGTTGAACGTTTAGTGGGGCTTGTAGGATATATTCTAAGACACCTTTTCAATGAACCATTAATGAGAGGCGAAAATTGTAATGATAAAGACAAATCTTAAAACTTAAAAGGAATTTTATCTTTATAAGACAGTGATGACTTAACTTATAATAATTTAGAACTGAGCTTATTTTAGTTAATTAGGATTTTATAGTCTACTATACAGTTTGTTTTGCACGTATTCGTCATTTATAGATACATAAAAACAACTTTTGAGGCATTATTGAGTTATGTAAGAAACGGTTTACACAAAACAAACAATTTGAGGTATATCATTCCGTTAGAAGTGTCCATTTTATGTTTTATCATCTTAAGCATATTCTGAAGGTTTTAAATTAAATGTTTTACACCAAGATTTTGAGGAATTAAAATATAATGCTTACTGAAATATGGCTTTTTAATTGTACACGGTCAAAAAGTCTGTGTGCGTCTCTTCAAATTTTCAATTCAACCGTTGACATGCTTTGAAGACATACTCAATGTAAACAAAACACGAATAACCAAATTGAAGAGACTGAGGCCAAATTGAAGGGTTGTACAGTACATAAACTGTACAGTGTTTGGTATTGTGTTTGGACTGTACAGTAAACACTCATCAACCCAGACTAATTGGAGATCCGAGCCCCCGGATTGAATAAAATCTGAATTTTAATATGACAAGAGGATGCTTTATTTCAGAAACAGTTCTGTAACCCTTGTATATATCAACCCCAATTACAAAAAAACATTATTGATCTTAGCCCCAAAAATTCAAATTTATTTTACACTCATCCATATTTAACTTAACCCAGCATGAAATGAGCTTGTTTTTAAGTACCGTACCTCATCTTACCATTAAAATACTTAATTAGGCCTACCTTGACGAGTTTACTGTACATTTGCAGATCAATCTGTTGTGCCTTGTTGTAGAGAAGAACACCAACTATGACAGTGCAAGTCCCGAGCCCGCTGAGCACTGTGACATCGTTACCAAACATGAGCACCGACAGCCAGATCAGGAAAGCTCGCTTGGCCGTGTTGGCAACACTGAAAACATAGGTTGTGGTTTTTTCAGTTATGTGTTTTCAACGTTGGCATTTTTTAGATTTTTGAGGGATCAGTCAAAACTGGGGTCTTGTTACTACCGTCAGCCTTTTCTAGGTAGACCTGCTCGAGATTGACCCAGCAATCTTCAAATGTTAAAGGGTGCACAATAGCCTCTTAGCAATTACACCCACCCAAACAATGATGACTCAATACACAAACTCTGTGAGGGTGTATTGTTACCAAATACGTGAAAATGTTGAAACAAAGAAAAGTCAACTTATGATACATTATTATGTATACTTTAATTATTAAAAGGATCAAATTAATTACTTAAAGCATCATTTTTACAAAAAGGTTACATTTATTAAACCCAAGACTCATAATTCAAGAATCGACAATGGTCTGTAACTCATCAACTTAAGTTTACCGAAATCCTTTATCTCGTAAAAATCTGAATACCCTTCATGTCATGTTAGCATAATTATCAGCATTCATGTGAAAATCATGAATATCTACCAGGGTCACATGGACATTTTCTGCAATCACAGCAAAATCCTAAATATCTTCCGTTGTCTGGTAGAAATCAACATCTAGCACAGAAACGTATAGCAAAATCTTGTACAGTCTTTGCAATCTCAGTGAAAATATTACGCAACAACTGATAAACCGAAACTGACAATTCTCAGTTAAGGTTTTTTCTTAAAAAACCAGTGAATCCGACAACAGAGTTAAAAAATCAACCCACTCCTACAATAAAGGTTTTACTTTGACATTGACACGACTCACCTGTGCGTGACTGGGCTAATGTAGTCCATGAGTACGTAGGCAGTAATGCTCTGGAAGTGGAAGAACACTCCGTTGAGCACATACAGCGCTAGTTGTGTGAGCGTTGTGGTACTCCTGACTCCAGACAGGTCTACCAACAACACAGAGGCGGGTATTTGGACCACCACGGATGCCATGCTGGTGTAGAACTGCAGCTCCGCTGGCCTACGGATTGCAGGGTGGTAATTGTTATAATTTTGCTTCAAATACTCTGTACCATTATTAATTTGTAGTTAAGTGTTTTAATACATTAGAAATTTAAAGATTTAAATAGAGGAATAGTGATTTGACTAAACCAAATTTCCAATCTCAGAATCATCAAAATTTTTAAAAAATTCGGATTTTTAAGACTTGATTGGTGGGTTTTGAGATTCAAAACAAAGTATTGATTAAATTAAATATTTGATCACATACTCATGCTATTATGTCAAAAGATAGATCAATAACACGGCACAAGCATCCTGAAGTAACATTGAAAGTCAACAAAAAGTATACTTACGTGTATTTGAAGTTTTCTCCACTAATTAGCATTTTTGAATACACATTCTGCAAGCTGGAAAAAATCAAGGTTAAGCATTATTTTTTATACAAATTATCAAAACATACTGCTTATTTAGTTGTTATAATAGAAGTAACTCCAATGAACTAAAATAATGGAAGTTTAGGGAAATAACGAAACATTTTAATCTTTACAACAATGTTCAATATTTTTTAAACCTCTTGTGATTAACTTATATATATATACTTTTTTTAATCGTATAGGTTACTTTGTATGAGGTGATAGTGAAGCTAACTTGGTACGGTACTTTGGTATTATCCAGCTTGCTGTATACCTACTTGGCAGAGTACATCTGGCAGCTAGCGGCAGAGAGCATTCAAACTCAATCTTCGCCGACATCACTGCCTTCTGGAAGGCAGAACTCAAAGGCCACTAATCGTAATCATGTCAAATGTGAACAGTAAGTCAATTAAAGTATGTTCTTTCCAATTGTTTAGTTATTTTTGGTTTCCAATTAAAAAAACCTCTAAAATAAGTGGCCTCCGGATAATACTTAAGTACCACTAATTTCTGTACAATCTTAATTGAATGTACAGTAAGAGGATTCAACTGTCGAAAATTGGAGTGCAGTAAACTCATTCTACTTTCGATCTGATTTTTTTATTGTGGTGTCTACCCATTTGGAATTTTGTGTATGAACTGATTTCAAACGCTTGTTAGGGAAAGGGTCCAAACTTTAGTAACTAGCCAGGATTAAACCTGTTCTCTCACACACTGAAGTCAGAGACGCTAACTACTAGGCTAGCAACAAACGCATTTTCTTCTGGACTTACTTAAGGTTCAGAAAATAATCTGGCTTTGTAATGTTCAAAGTTTCAAACAAGAGAGAATCTACAGTAAAGAAATATTTTATATTCACCATTCCGTAAGGTTGGTGGCCATGGCAGCCAGAAAGCCTCGGAAGTCGAAGCTAAGCTCGTTGATGGAACATAGAGCTAGACCTCCCATTACGGGGATCAAGGATAAGTTGACGTATAACCCAGTGTGCTCACCTGTGGAAGTAACGCAGATAATGACTTGTGAAAATCAAAAGTACTTTTAAGTTTTGAAATTTGTTTACCTAAAACCGTTTTTTTAAAGTAGCCGTAGAACTGAAAAGTTTCAGATACAGTAACAGCATTGTTTACTTTCAAAACAGCATAGTTTTACTCAGGAAATAACCTTAGTAGAAATTTTCCACTATAACAACACAGGTAATGGACCAATGAGGATCAAGGATTGAAAGAGAATAAGTAGAATTGCAATGATTCGAACATCAACTAATCAGCTGTTCATGCCAATTTAATTGTTGAATGGTGCAATTAGTGTTTGGTACAAAGTTTCTTTGCATCACTGTCAGTGGCAATGAGAGGTTATAAATGAAAACATAACCTCTCTTAGAAGTTATGAGTTGTACAGTTGTGATTTTTAGCAATTAAAACACTGACGTAGGTAAAGTAGTGTACGCAACTCGCGTGAACAGTGTTAAAGTCACTCGTAGAAGTTTTTAAGGCACTTGCCAAGGTTTGTACCTTAAAATTTCGACTTGTGTCGTTGGCAGTATGGGCGGCAGCAAATACCAAGACTGGACTGGCGCGACATTGCAACATCACCCGTTTACTACTTTACGACACTAATTAAAATATACTAAACAATATTTTCAAATCAGCTGGTATTATTAGATTTGGCAACACCGCACTGTCCTCATTGGCTCCTTCAAAGTCATGTGGTAAATAGGCTCCTCCCTCAACTGCAGACTCTCGTGGACCGTACTGTAGGGTTGTGATTGATTTAACAAAAGTTTAACAAGACGTTGACTGTTAGAAGCTGCAAACAACAAAACTAAACTGATGTACAACACCGATTTATTCGTTTATTATTTTACTACATTATTAGGTATTTATTTTAAAATGCATTTATTACTAAACCATCATTTATTATTTTAAAATTTAAAAAAATAAAAAGGGAAGTACCTACTGTACATGAAAATGAGTTATAGTTACTATAGATAGGCTACCATAATTTTTAAAAGTTGTATACTGTATTTTTTCGCTAGCCAATATTTTAACTTTTCTCTTGTGTTGAAACAGACAACCTTATAAAGCAACTGTTAAACACCTGTTGATCAATCTATACTAATTGTTATTAACGAACTATTGTTAGATATCACCTTTGACTATTAATAACTCCAATAGTCAATGATATCACCTTTGACAATATCCATTTCTGTTATATATCTAAAGTCAATTATATTTTTGGTGCTACTAATCCCCATTGAATGGATGGATATCATAGACATCATTCAAATAAACAGATAAAAACAATCAATTCTAAAAGAACTTAAATAAAACTGGTACAGTAAAAATAAATAAATATAATATAGCAATGTCAATGGATATAAAAACGACAGTACTTTCAGATAGCCTACCATTTGATACTTAATCTTAAAGTATTTGACTGAAATTTTATTAATATCTCACCATATAATAGTTTGATGGACTTAAAAATACTCACCCAGCAATATTCTTGAAATGATGACAGTAAAAATTGGAGCCGAGCTTTTTATTGTTTCAGTGAAACTTACAGCTACATAGTTTAAGGAAACTAGACCGAGTATCACAGTTGTAAACCTGGAACCAAAAACAATAGTTATTAAATTTGAATACGGTATAGTAAATTTCATAGCATTAGAAAAATCAAATTTGTAGAGAGGAAAATTCAAGCGCACGGTAGTTGTACTAACCACTTAGGTTCACTATTTTGTTACACAGGCATTAAAAACCGTAGCGTTTTACTTTCAAAAAGTAAGAATGTAGATGTCATTGTCTTGTTATGTACCACACTAGATGTACCTTAATCACCAAGTTTTAGCGAATTTCCCTATAGGGAAGTAGCTATTACCGTAGGTCTCAGGGTAAGACCTAAGCCCGGGACCGATTTACTTTTTCATTTTGATGTCCCCAGAGGCCAAAAACACCATTCGTTCAAATTTTTATATAATATAGTATAACATCCGCACGATAACTTGAGTAATTTTTGTCCGATTTTGATAAAACTTGGTTTAAAGGTGTAAGGCGGGATAAACTTGAATGAGTTTGCGAACCAGCATGATCGGACTATGGGAACGGGGGTTTATGGGGGGTTTTATGGGGTAAAAATAGGTTTTTCCCATTTTTGGCCCTAAAAACACAAAATTTCACAATTTCTTTTCAAACCATTTTGTAGAGCTTAAAAAAACAAATAATTTAGTATATTGAAGCATTATTATGCGCCTAATTGTTACGGAGAAAATTCAAAAAAATTGTAATTTTAAAATTCCCATGTTATTCTTATGGAGAATAAGTAAACTGTTGTAGTTTGCTTGTTTATGAACATATTTTGATCAAATTTGGAATATACATTAATTTCTTACTAAACCACAGTACCTTTTAATATTTTACATTTAAAAAAAACTTTTTTACCCTCCCTGTTGCAGCAAACCTAAGTACTCATTAAACTAATTCTGTTTAAATAGGGAATAAATGTGATATTTTTAAGGAGACATTTTAGTTTAAATCCAATCCAAAGGCAGATGGAAATTCGCTAAGTCTGCAGACTTGCTGCGGCGGGGGTATTTTAATTTTAATTTGTCTACACCTAACTACATATAATTATAATTACTAATAACAACAAGCCATTATTCACTAAATCTGTCTGCACCCAACATCTCTTCCACGTTTGTGCTAAAGAAGAAAAGCCAGATTCTAATTTTAATATTTGACGAAATGTAAATCACCTTAATGATATCTTATAGTTTATTTTGAGCTAAACAACAGGCTTAGCTCTTTTGAGGTAGGCCTAGCCTTTTTTACTTCCCACCTTAAGAAACACCACTACGTGACACACTCCTAAAAATAGGGCTGTAATGTGAATGTCACAATATTAAATAAAAATAATATTGAGCTAGGTTATTAGTCTAAAGCTTACCTAGTGCATCCAACAAAGGTCATGTGTTTATAGAAACCGGGAGGTCGGGAGAGTCGTTGTGACGGCTTATACATGCCGCAAGGTATATACAGCTGGATGAAACCACACACCGTGGTAGTTAACATTTGGAATGTACCTGGAAACGTAAATGTTTCAGCTTTAACAACACCATACAATTATCAAGTATTTCAAATTCATGTTTTAAAGTAAGGTTAGATTAACTTAGGTTGTGCTGCCAACATTTCTATTCGTTTGGTTTTGGCATAGGTAGATAATTTCGCTTAAAATGTATTGAAACCGATTCATAGTTATTAAGTTTAACGTTTGCTATTGACAGGCAGGCAATTCTTCTATCCAATTTTTCTACAGTCAAATTGTTGATACAATTAGTTAAGTTTACTTCAACACTGTGTTTTCTATCACTTGGATATAAATAAAACTTAGATCAATCTAGGTCTTTTTAATACATTTCAAAATGTTTCATTTTGTAAAACAAAATTGGATGTTGCAAAATTAAGTTGCAGATGGACCAATTGCCGATTAATCGTAGCCTAGTGTTAACTCTAAAAACTGTCTAATCAACGATTGCCAAAATAATAAAACTACAGAGAGAACAGATTTTCAGATCTAAAATCATGTCGGTTTTTTTCTATGCCATTGGCATTAATTAAGATTAGTTGAAGGTTTTGAATAGGTAGGCCTAATGGAACGGTCCAGGCCCTGGGCGTTGATTAGTCTCTCTATGACAAATGGCATCTAAGTTCAGAATTGATCCCACTTAGGATAAAATTTACAACCTTCATATATGAAGAAGCACTAACAAACTCAGCTATAGGCTACAGATACTCTGTGGGAGTCTGCTGTGAAACCTATGAACCATATTTTGTGAGTAGCTTAGGCTAGGTACTCTAAACTTAATGCTCAAAACACTGATCATTGTTTTTACAATATTTATGTCTAGGTCGTATTAAATGAGATAATCAAAGAATATCAAGCTTTTTCTTACCTAATATTGTTGGGTCAGCATCGGTGTAAGATAAGATGTATTTGTTCAAAAACAATGTACATCCACTGAAAAAGTACCATAAAATGAGGAAGAAGAGAGCTCGCACATTCAAGAGTCCATCTCTAACTTCTGGTTTGCCAGTGGTATATAAAGCACCCGTGTTGATATTGATTACACTTTTCTTTCTTGTCCTTTCATCTGAACTTACTAAATTTGTATCAGAATCTGTACTTGATAAATACATGTCTCTTGAACTTCCATGTAGAGGGGCTACTGTTCCACCTTTACCAATCAGCAAAGTTTGATCGTCAATCATGTTTATGGCATCCAGAAACAGTTAACAATTTCTTGAGATTACAAATTTTTAACAAATACTACTCACTTAAGATCTTGGTTACAGAAATTCACTGAAAAAGTTTAAGTTACTAGACACTGATTTCTCTAACCTTTAAATACTAAAATGATTTACAACACATTGTTGACCCAATCTTGTACAGTAAACATGCAATATAGAATACGTTAAAAATATAAAGTTACATGTTATAAATTTGATTTACAAACTTTATAAATAAAAAGGTAATTTTACTTTTAGTTCACTGTTAAATTACAAACAATGGTGCATTGCTGGTGCTGACGGTGACAGCTACCGAGCCGACGACAAAACAACGTAAACATGAAACTCAACTCCAGCTGATCCAAAATAACTATTGACAGTACGGGAGAAATATGTCAAAAAATATTTCCGTCATGATTATTTCGCATGTAGTACATAATGTGTATTATTAACGATGAGTTGATGTAATTTCTCAAGAACTGTTAAACCCTATGCATATCTAGGAAGAGATTACATGTATTTGTAACGCATTAACAAATAGAAAAAATTGAATGGGAAATATAACTAACCATGGACGCTTTATAGATTTGTCATCTTTTTGGGTGTGCTGACAAATTATAATATTATGTTCCCCACCAGTATTTATAGAATTCGTATGTATTTACTAACCTTTAAATTTAAATCACATTATACGGCCAATCTACTAAAAAAAATATGGGTCACTGGAATGTTATCCCCCTGGAATTTTACCCTCTGGGCTCTGGGCGAAGCTGACGTCACTACGACGTAGAAACCTGAGCGCTCTAAAGTTTGTTCGCGGGAGGAATTTTACCCCCGTGGATTTGGGAGTCAAATGAAAATAGACAGAGCGTGATAAGTTAGATTAAGCAATAAAACCCGGATTTTTAACTCCATATAACTAGCGTTTGGGCAACTGTAGATGTACGGCTTGGATCTTTACCCCCATAATTTTACGCCCTGTGCAGATATAGAAATTAGTGGGAAAAATTAATTTTCTTATTTCAGGTTTGATTAAGTAAACATTTGATAATTAATTAAGTAGCATGTTTATAATCTGAACTAGATGAACAGATATCACTGTTTAATTTTGACATTCGAGTTTCTGGATTCGACTTTTGAGGCCAACTGTTATAGTTAATATGTATGTAAACAAATGGGGAAACCAATTTGAATGATAATTGGGTTAACATTTCTTAGACGATTTGATTAACCATACGACCGTGGAAAAACAATTTATTTTGAAAGAAAATATTCTCCATAATATTTAAATCTGGCCAGGGAGTAAAATTCCGGGCCGTACACTCTAGGTTTTATAATTTGACGTGTTCTGATTAAATTTACAACCATCAAAATACACGTTTGATTCCACCTTTAATTTATTGAACTGATGTTGTGCAACTCAGTTCGCGGCTGGAATTTTACCCCCTGGTTTGTGACGTCAGTTTTGCTCAGGGGGGAAATTCCAGGGGGATACAATTCCGCCACCACGATGCAGGTCCGTAATTTTGAGGTTACTTGTTCGTATGTAATTGTTTACTTCGGTCCCCTACACCGAAGCAGGGGTGCCCATCCCCCCCAAACCCAGAGGCGCAATCCTCCCCCCAAGCCACAGGAGTAGTTCCCCCCCAATTTATGCTGCCGTCTATTTAAACCTACCCTCCCCAAACCAATTTATCTGAAAATTTTTCCTTTACCTCATAAAACGAGTATTTCAAGTATTTAGTAAATTTGAGGTACAAAAAACAAACTTGCTGATAATAAAAATTAAATGCTTAATAGGAAACGTCATTTAACAATACATCATTATATCTAATCTAACTAATATACGAATTAGAAGTTTTTCAATTTACAATTCAGGATCTGTATATTGTCAGCCAACATGTGCTCAGTAGTAGTATAAAACACGGGGGTGATCCCGTGACGTCATAATTAGGTAATTGGTAAGTATTTTGTGATTGTGGAGCAGCGTGAATTACGCAGCGACTCTGGCGATGTATGTTGTGGATTGGTTGGTATTGTTATTAGGTCAAGGTCATCTGAATCTGTTTTTAAAAAATATTCTGCACTAATGGATAAATAGTGCAGAATATTTTTTATTTATTCATTTATTTTTTTTACAATCAACAATAGTAATAATAATGTAAAGTAGTTAAATCTAAGTTAAATCTAAGAAGTGTTGGAATCGTTCTTCGTCGTAGAGCTGCTGCTTCCATATATGTTGAATGCTGAATGGTCGGTTTCAAATTTTCTTCGATTGGGGCATGGTGGTTTGTAAGCTCCGTAGTCTGGAAGCAGAGTGCTGTTGGCTGTTGTTGTTACTGTAACTGCATACCCACTTGCAAGTAGAACTCTCAACTCTTCAGCAAAAACATCTATATCATGGTAGGTTGAAAGTTGAACATCGTCGTACTGGACAAACTTCACCTTGAGAGACATAATTGTTGTATTGAGCTGTAGTTGCCTCTAGGAAGTCTGCAGAACGATTGAAGGCATAGGACTATCTTCTTGTATTTATAGGTAAAGTCCATCCCCCCCCCCCCTCCTAGCTACCCCCACCACTAATCTTTTTAAAGGGCCTCGTATTACACCATAAATATTTTCATCACAGAAATAATAGGGGTTCTACAATAAACGCAATTGTCAACACTTAGGCCGCACATGATGCAGCTGCAAAAATGTTTGCAAGGTAAAAACACAATTTCCCTCTCTGCGGACAAACATACTATGCACTCCGATCCTTGTTTTTGCACAGGTTCGTTTGTTCCTACGCCTTTGGTTGAGCTTCTCTTTTTAACTATCACATTTTTATTTATTCGCTTGGAATATTTGTTCACAAAGTCTTGCCCCTTGTTAACAACCACAAAGGGGCATCTTGGAAACCATCGTGCATGTTCTTGCCACGGATCATCTTCTTCTTGCCAATCCTTTAATCCTCCTCCACAGTAGTAACATATAGTTTCATCATTCTTCCCAGTGTAAAAAAACCCTGCTTCGGATAATTCCCATTTGGAATTGTTTACGACAGAGTTATGTAAACTTTTTTCAAAAGAATTTAGCCTAGTTTGAAAGTGAGTATAGTTCGGAAAGGCAATTTTAATCTTCAAAATGGTTGCGGACATATTAAGAGAGTAGATGGCTCGCTGCAATCCAAATGATTAAAACCCAACTGTTAGCAACGTTTTATACGCAAAGAAGATGGGTGGGGGTTAGCTAGTTTGTAATCGATTGTAAAAATGTTGTTTCTGATTTAGGTCAAGGTCATCCATATCAGTTTTTAAAAAATATCATGTTAGTATTTTAGACAAAATACTAACATGATAATTTATAATATTTTATTTATATACAATCATTTGTACAATATTCTTATTCTAACAACAGTGCAAAGAGAGTTCTGTAGAGTTGTTCCCACTAACTCCATGAGATACCAAATAGAGAGAGCCCGGTTCGATGCTGCGTAGATCCTCATTTTGTAACATGCTGACAAACCGTTTTGGAAGAAACATTTGGAACTTTGGTTCATCTCCTGGAGTAAAAGGTGCATCGCTTAAGGAGACTAGAATAGCGTCCCCAATAGATGTTTCCATTTTCTTCATTCTATGCACAATATAATGTTTTAGTTCCTTAAGTTCTGAACACTTTTTAGTAATTAAAACACTTGACTTTGAATGAGTGTTGAACTGATCAACAAGGTTCTGGAGTTGAGATGCCATCTTTATTGGTCAAGCTGTAGGTGTTTTCCTGTCCTAGGTTGGAACAATACTGATGTGTTGTCTGCACACTTTCCTCATATTTATACCCATCGATTCCCCCACTACCGCAGCTCTCCTTTTGGTTTAGGAATGATGCTATACGGTATGCATTTTTTAAAGCACATTGACCTTGACGATGACATTTGTTTTTGCCTGCAAGACAAATACCGTCATAACACACTTTAAAATTTGAGTCAATCGTTACATCAATCACGTTACCAATGGTATATTTTTGAATCCAGCTTCGTTTTTCCAAACCTTTAGTGTAAATACGGTTGAATTTCGCACAAAAGTGATACATTACATCATCTACAGTGTTGTAATCTAAAAATCCTTCATTCCATGCAATGTGATGAAAATTCCTAGTAACCCACTTATTAGTTAACTTGGCTTTAGAATTTAGTTTTTTAAAAGAATGTGGTGGTTTAAACATAAAGGGATAGACAACGTACGTTAATAAATCTAAAATTACTAACTCCTTAACAACATATTCATTTGTATTTCCACGAAAAGCTTGGAACTCAATCACACAGGGTTTCTCTTCTATTGTTTTAACTTTGTCTGAGAACCATACCCTCTGCTCCATGGTAAGAATGTTAAGTAACTGATTTCCACACCACGGTAGGTTTTATATTTATACCAGGCCGTACAGTTAAGGCGCGTTGATGTATATTTAACGTGGGCATCATCCCCAAGTAGGCCTACCCCACGAGTTTAAATTAGTTTTTTTTTTTATTTCAAACTAAAACACACTTAGATTGGCTGTGTTTCTTCAATATTTTCTTTTACGTCATCCGTTGTAGTCTTATTGATCTCGTAGTCTTTTATACTCCGCCACATTTCAACCTCATAGGGGATTCGATTAAAAATTGATGTATCGATCGGTCCGTGTAGAATCTGGGAGTCAGGGTATTGATCCATAGCATCCACTAAATATTCTTTTATTACAGAGCTTGAAAATGTTAGTTGTTTCATGTATCTAGTTACAGGTGAAGCGGCACAACCCAAAACATAAAATTCTTCTCTTGTTAGTTGAATCTTAATATCGTGTTTTGATAGGTCTCTGAAACGTATTTGCTGTCCTCCACGATACTTATAAATATCTATTTCTATGTCACAATCCAATAACCGAACAGCCGTTTTTTTACCAAACATGTTTTTAGCCAAATAACATTCGATTAAGTGCAAATGTTTTATGAATGAGTCCCAAGCATGCTCCGAAAAAAACAACATTTTTGCTCCATGATTTAAAATTGCGTTAGGTGCGTATGATAGGTCCTTCACTAATCCGATTGCAATGCCTTTAGACATACATCTTGAAATGGGGTAAAATATACGGAGGAAAATATCCGTTAACATATTAAGAGGAAGGTCGTCTTCGGGGGTTTTCTTCCTCTTTAGCGCTGAGTTAGTTACAAAAACACTGTTTTCACAACTGTCCATATCATTGTTATCTTGAGTATGGAATTTTAGAAACTCTGATAATTCATCTTCACAAAGCTTAACTTTTGCGTCATATTCTTCT